GACAACATAGATGTCGAACTCTCTTCTGAGGGAACATTGAAGTTCAGTAGCAAGAAAGAGTTCAAGATACCAAGAATGAGTCATAGAGTACAACTTCTTCTGGGAGCATACCATATGACATTTCCTTTGAAAAGTGTTGACAAAACGATTGAGATGAAATCTGTTCCATACGTATGTTATGGTAATTGTTTGTACGTTGAGTCAAAAATAGCTAATGTCACAGGCATTTCAGGAGTTAATAGTAAAGGTTCAGTAGAATATAAGTCTTTCTGTTATGCAGTCAATTCAATGTTCATTCCAAACGTTCCTGTCATAGCAACTCATTTAGGTAAATGGGTTCGCATTAGTCCTCATAATTTGAAAGACATGCAATTCAGACTTGTTGACTTTCAAGGAGAGCCTGTAGAACTGAAGGCACCAGTGCGAATGACTGTTGAAGTTGACTTTTTAGAAAATATTAAATGCAACAGCTTACAAGAGAACTCAGAGCTAAAAATATAAAGTATGAATGTTATGTATTAGGTCATGAACTTTGGTTGTTGCTGTTTGATGAAACAAATGAATTAGTTATGTCAGTCAAGAGAACAGAAAAAGGCGTCAAAGGCGCCGAGCGCAAAGCGCTATATTGTGTTAGTGAAAACTGCACCAAGTCAATAAGATTAGGTTTGCATTATGAAGATGAGTTCGATACTGTTGAAGAAGTTTTGGACAGATATTACAAATTGCTAACTTGAATTTTTTTGACTGACGGCGCAAAGCGCCAAGATGGGCTCAAAGAGCCCTCCTGACTGCTTTAATTTACTAAAACATATTTCAAGCAAAGCTTATAGTAAGTAGATAGTTTTGTATACTCGTTCGAATATTTATACTTAAACTCAACTCCTGTAGTTCCTGGTGTTTCAATGATGCGGATGTTACCTATTTTCATGAATAGTGGAGTTTGACCACAGCATTCGATTTCAGGGTCGAGATAGTCAATGACACATTGTTTCCCTGTTATTCGTGATATAACATTTTCAAGGTCCTCCTTTGTTAGAATTATTTGGTTCTTGCTTATAAGATTTGTCAAAAGCTTCTTATCGTCTTTGAGTAAAATTGTTTGATATAACTGAAGAAGGTAATGGTCTACGTTATCTGAAGGATTTGTTTGAACATTTATGTAAGGATTGTCGTTGGCTTCTCTTGAAAGAATTTGGTCCAGTGGTGGATACTCTAACTTAACATCTGATGTAGCGTTAGCGTTTGAAGCTGAGTTTAAATTCACGGATTTCAGTTCTGGTTCTTTTTCTTTCAAACACTCCGAACTATAGTTCTTTATGACAATATTGTTTGTCGTTCGTGAGTCAACATTTGATGTTGGTTCAATTGGAACATTAACGGCACCAGCTAAGATGGATTTGCTTCTCATTTCATATAGAATAAAAACCTTTTATATGTATGAAATGAACAATATACTCGACAAGGGTTTGAATGTAAAGCTAACGAATGAAAATATTGTTGAATTCACTGAGACAGGAGCTGTGTATAAAGATGTAGAACTACTGAACAAAAGAGCTAAGGGAAGAAGCAGGAACATGAACAAAGGGTGGAAGCCTATAAAAAATTTATGTCAATGATGGCTCAGGAGGTTCAAAACATAAAGTATGCAGAAAGTTATAGAGTTTATGCTCTCAAAGGTGAAAAGCCTTCATTTAAGAACAGCTATTCTAAACACATATCCTCAAAAGCTAACGGATGGGGAAGTGGATGATATGAATTGACAGCAAAAATATTAACAGAAATGGCGACAGAGATGCATGGAATTTGTTTACCATCAGTCAATTGAAGGTTAAACTTTAAAACAATGTTGGTCGTTCCCATGGAATATTTTTGACTTTAATGGTATAGTCATGATATGAATCTCAAGGTATGAACGAGGAGAGATGAGAGACTTATATGCTTCCCAAATTTCTTCAAAAGGTAATGTTATACCTGACTGTTTCAAATGAGTTCAATATCATAGGCGTGAGAAACCTTGAAAGATAACGAAGTCAGTTATGAGACGTTTTATGTTTAAAGCAAGGAAACGCCATGTTTGCATAAGTATTGCTACAGTTAAATGGTAATGTCTGACTTTAGTAATGATATTAGCTAATGATGAGTCTGGTTTTGAAACTAAACCTTTTCCAGCGAAGTCGTCGCAAACTAACAAAGTATTTGAAGGATATTTTTTGAAGGGGTATTTTGAAAGTTTTGATAGAATGTAGTTTGTCAGTCGTTTCATATCGTAAACTCCTGAGTACTTGACGTAAGTGGTGTTTGTCAATAATTCTTTCCATCTCCTCAGAAGTCTTTTGCATTCCTGACTGTATAAATTCAACAATGGCATAATATTTCCTCTTACGTCGTTGAATGTAACGTTGAAGAAATTCAATGAGTTCGCTATCTGGAACTTTAACGACAGAGGCTTGAACTTTTGACATAAATGTTTTCGCTGTTGAGTCCATAGAGTCTGAAGTTGCTGATATAATGATTTGGTCATAATATGAGTCATTTCCTAAAGCGTTCTGTTATGAGTATATGACGAATTAAATTAAATGTCTTACCTGAACCCATCTTTCCACAATAGAAATAAACGCCATTTGAACAGAACTCATAGTCCTTACTGAAAGGAAGAATGAGAAAGAAGAGTTAAGTTTGTCTGTAGTTTCATTCATGTCTTCATCTACGTCATGTATTAAATGCTTCATTTTATCTCCATTAAAAATGCAAGTCAGAAATATTCAGAAACATAGCACCGAGTCTAACTGACAAGAGTATAAAGATATACTATGAACACGTTATGATGAAACCTACCAAAATTCAAGAAAGTCAGTATACTTATGAATATCCAAGGCACTGGGTAGAGTATGTAGGAGGTGAGAAAGCTATTGAAATAAGACAAGTTAGAAGTATTCCAGCAGGAAGAACAATATTATTGAAGAACTTTAATGTTTTGAGGTATAATGATGAAACAAAGAAGCAAGATAGTTTCCTGTTGCTGTGTATGTGAACCTAGACACAGGAGATGACATGAAAGTTTTTAACACAAAGCTTCAAACGGTAGTGAGAGAACAACTGACTGCGGAAGGGCATCCATTACCTTCAGAAGTTACCATAGTATAATTTTGAAACAAACTCAATAGATTTTAAAGTCATCTCTGCAAAGAAGTCAGGTTTTACATTTAATGAAGCAGATGTATATTCGAATGAAAACTTCAAAGCTATTGCATGGTTAGATAATGACGATTGCTTTAAGAAAATATTTAAATTCAGTGACTCAACGATGTCAATAGATGACCTTCGTGGAATGTTACCATCGACGTTTACAGTAGAAGGTTCAGCAGGATTGCTTACAAGATTGTCAATTGGTGGTATTTGGTCTCGTGAGAACATTGTTATAAAATCCAGTATAAGTGAATTTGCTGAAGAATCTATATTATGTCTTTCAAACTACATGTATTCGCCACCGAAGCATTATAGTATAACAAACTTTGTCAGTAAGTTTAACATAAGACTTGTCGAACCTTCTTCAATGAAAGATGTTGTGCTACCTAAAGATGGAAAGGATGGACTCATTATTGAGATGATTTTAATAGCATATTAAATGAGCTTGTTTTTAAAGGTCATTCATGATGAAATAACTGTTGTAGAAGATGTTAGCAATTGTTCAGACATTTTGAAGCGTATAGATGAGATAAGAAAGAAGTTTATGAAGCCGCAACGCGGCGAGGACGAAGTCCATGAGAATGTTTATGTTTCATTGACTTTCTCCAGTAACGAGAACTTTTATGAGATAATATTGAAGAGAGATGATTTTAATATGGTGTAAATGGTAGCTTGGGCAGCCCTAGGCGCAATGGGAACAAAAGCATTAGCATTTGGAGCAAAAGCACTTGGAGCTTATGACGCAGTAAATAAAATGAGTGGAGGAAGGGTTTCGAAGACATTAGATGCAAATAAAGGAAAGATTGGAGGCTGGGTTGCAAAGAAGTTAAGATTAAATAAAATAGGGCTCATAAATAAAGCATCCAATTTGGTTGCGACTGAGTCAGAAAATGCTTTAGGAAAGGACGATGAGTTTGCAAAACATGCAAAAGACTTTAATGACCAGATGAAAGGTGAAACAATGCATTTAAATAGAGTCGATGGAACTCTTCCTCCACCAGTAGTTCTTCCGTATGGTCCCTATGGAATGTATGGAAATCCTTACGAAAGACCATTTGACCCATTGACTGGTGGAAGTAACTGGTATCATTACGGACGAAGAAGAAAGACAGTTAAGCTGGAGACAGACGTGAAGAAAGCAACTAAAAAGAAACCAAGGAAGAGAGTTATAAAGTAATGAATTCAAGTGGGTGAAAAAAGAGGTGAAAAAAGAGGTGAGATGTCACCTCTTCACCTAAATTTATTTTTGTGCTATGTTTTCATACGTGTGAGTGTGGTGATATCATTAATTTTTAAGTTTATTTTTATATAAATGACGAAAACTATTGAGATAACAAACTACAACGGTCATGAGTTCAAGAATTTGTTCTTCGTTCCTCGTGAAAATACATTCTATCAGATACGAGGGAGAAATGGTAAAGTTAGTTTGAGCGTTTATGAAGGAATGAAGAATGGAAAGTTTATACAAGCATACGATACAAACGGTAAACGTGTTTCATTAGCTTTGTCAAAACTTACTAACATTTATTTTGACAGTGACTTTGACTCTGACGATTGGAGCGACAGCAGCGATACTGAAGAATATGAACTATTGTGTGAAGCACAGCAATGGGAAGAGTTGCAATACTTTTGTAAGTGAGAACGTTTATTTTTACAGTAGTAAGGTGAAGTGGTTGGCGGCTTTATAAATATTTAAGGTTAAGTTGGTGTTTGTGTTTGTGTTGTAAAATATACGTTAACGGTTTTGTAAAGTGTCAAATTCACAAGTATTGCGTACGGAGGAACGCAGTGCCTCAGTACACGACTTAGGTATACTAACTGTCATTTAGCTCTGACATCAAATATCTCGGAGTAAATTCGTTCATGTCATTTGGATGATATGCTATTAAATCATATCCCTTAGCGAGCTTGTATTTTCCAGGTTTGAGATTATATCCCCTTTGGTGCAGAGCCATAAAGCTAAATAGGTTCGGGTCAGTATTTCCATCCTTGAACTTTCGAATAGCTTCTTTATATCTGTCACTAAAGTCAATAGTATCTGGGTAACCATAGTCTTCTTTAAGCATTTTTAAGAATTCTTGGTTTCCTTGTTCTCTACTTCTTTTATGTCCTTGCTCTGTTTGTGGTTGTTGTTGTGCAGGGTTTTGAACTGTTGGTTGCTGTGCTGGATTTTGAACTGTTGGTTGTTGTGTTGGATTTTGAACTGTTGGTTGCTGTGCTGGTTGTGGAGGTGGTTGTTGTGCTGGTTGTTGTGTTGGTTTTGGTGCATGCCTGTGTCTGTGTCCATGTGACGATGTAAATGTTTTAGGTAGTCCTGGTGCAGGTGCTTCTCTTGGAGGGTTTGGTGGTATATAAGTTCCACCAGCTGGCACATAAGTTCCATCTGCAGCGTAATGTCCTACCTGACTTTTCGTTCTTAAGAAAGCATTTACTAGGTCTGTTTTGGTCTGTTGTAACTCTTTTTCTTGACTTTCCACAACAGTTGCTCTAACGGCGTCATAGGCACTTTGAACTGCCTGTCTCGTTGCTGCATCTGTTATTTTCGTCATATTTTGTGCTACTTCTTTTAACTCTTTGTCGAAACCTTCAGACTTCAGTTTCTTTCCAGATGAGAAGTCGTTCACTTGTTTCACCTTACTATGAAGAGCTTCGAAGGCGTTCTTAAAGTCAGCATTTGTTAAAGCTTCATTTGAACTGTCTTCATCCGCTTGTATTTTTGTCCTTATTGACCCTATAAGCTGGGCTGCTTTAGCGTTGGCTTGGGCATCTAACCAGTCATTGTTAGCTTTTATATATTCTGCGCTTTTCATTGCCTTTTGCATGGCTGCGTCGTTATTTTTACTTTCTTGTGCTAAGTTTTCATACTGTACGGTTTGGTTTTGCAACTGTAAAAGTTTTTCTGCCTTTACATTTGCTTCAACTTCCTTTTTATACTCATCGCTATCCATATATGTCTTCAGGGCTTTTTGTTTTATCTCTTCATCTTTCAGTATTTTATATTGAGTAGTATGGTTTTTCAAATTTACAACATCTTGTTCCATTTTTGCTACTTCTGCTGCTTTTTCTGACACTTTTTTCGCATATTCCTCTGTACTTAGTTCTTTCAGTTGTTCTTCTTTCTTCTTTTTCTCTACGTTTAACTCATTGAGTTTCTTTGTGTGTCTGTCATATTCTAGTTTCTTTTCGTTTTCACTTATTTGCTTCTGTATGTCTATGTTTGACTTTTTGACATCTGTTATTTGATTTTTGAGTGAACTCAAATTCATTTGACTTTGAGGGTTATATGCTGTTCCGTCTGCAGCTCCACCATAGCCTGCCATTTTCGCTAAAAGTGCCGCTCTTAAACCTCCACTCTGTGCACCAATGACTCGGTTTAAAAGCATAGGATTGCTTGACATTTGTTGCAACATAGTGGGGTCATTCAGCATTTGTTGTTGCAACTGTTGTTGTGGTGTTAGTCTTACTATTGGATGTTTCAATGCTCTCTTCCTCTTACGTATATTCTTACGTAGCTTACGTGGCATTTAAGTGAAGTTAAAAAGCGGCTTTTGACAGATGTTTATATGAGACTTTCTCCGGTTTATAGGACCTCTCTCATATTCTATCTTGTTTTAAAATGGAGAAAAGGCTTCTCAAAGTATACTTCTTTGAACGTCTGTAACTTTTCTGTAGCGACGATAGACCCTTACTTGTCCGGACATAGTTCTACTATTTTGAGTTCTCTACAAACAAGTCAACAGCAACGACTTTCAAAAAATTTTAGGGGCTAGAAGGCACGAAGTGCCTGGAAGCCCCCACACCCCAAAAAAACCTCATTTTATATAAACTGCATGTTATACTAAACATCTTCAGGGGCTAGAGGGGCGCAGCCCTGGAAGCCCCAATACCTTTTTTTTTTTTTTTTTTTTTTTTCATATGTATTTAAAAGGCATTCATTGAATTGCTTTTCAATCTCTTTCTTTTTTTCATCTTCGAATATTATATCATTTTCATGTTCGAAGCTTGTAAGTTTGTTATCTTCAAATATTATATTAGTTTCATATATCAAATTATGATATCGGTCATATTCTTTTAAGTGATAAATAAATACAAAATTTACGGTTCCTTTAATTTTAAATTCAAAATTAATTTTACAACAGCTTTGTGGATCAATTAGTAAATCAATCAAATAATGTTCAAAATCAGATATTATTCTTTTTCCATACATTTTATATTAAATAAAAAATTGACACCATATTTGGAATCTATGCAAAAATAAAATTCTTTTTATTAATGATAATATAGGAATTGTAGGAATAAAAACTTTTTATAAATTATTCATAAATTTTTAAAATCTGCTATTCGGAAGTATGTTCAAAAATCATTCAATTATGTGAGAATTCTTACGATTACAAAAAAGGTCACACAACCCGCATTCATATACTACTGAAAAATATTAAAAAAATTATTTTAATATTTAATGTTTTCTTATTATTCTCATATTGCATGTTAATTTATAACCAAGTTTTGGTGCCAATAATGCTTCTTAATTTTATTTCAATCAAAAATCTTCCTAAATTCCTATGAAATCATGCTAGTTGAATAAAACTTGAATATCACAACCTAATTATACTGATTTGGATTCATTAATGAATCAAGTTCAATTAGATTTGTGTCAGAAAATCCTTAACAAACTGAAAAGCCGTCCAATTTCAGCTTTGTTTGTTGGATCTGCTGAGTACCCGATCGAGCCAAATATGGAACATCCAACAAATTTAAGATTCATCGAAGAGAAATTGCAGCGCGTCTTATATCCGAATTGCAGTGCATTTATTGACGAAACAAAAGCATTTTTAAACTCATTTATTACTCATGAAACAGGAGATCCTGCATTACGTTTTGCAGCACAACAATTATTACTCGATTTCGAAAGCGAACTTGAAATTAACAATCCTCTTAAGAAAGGACTCGCATTAAGACTTGGAATAGTTGCTTCAGAATTTAATGAATACTTCAAAAATAATTACTCAATTCAAAATGAAGATAAGCGCGAGGGCCAACCAGGCTCTTCAATATTTTTAACACAAGCAGAGAGTATATCTCTAAAAGAACTAATAAGAGAAATCAAATATTTACGTACTCCAGATTTAATTCTTAGAGTAACATCTTTTATATATAAAAGACAACCAGAAGCTATTTCTTTAGGCCAAGAGACTACAATTGAATTCCAATTAATTAAACCAGAAGTTTTAGAAGAATTGAAGAAATTTGTTCGTTCTTTAATCTATTCTGCTGCTATTGGAGAGATTAATCCTCTTGGATATCGTCCAACTAGAAAGATACCAGTTGTTGTTGATAATATTTAACATTTTTACTTAATATTAGATTGTTTTGTGTGAATATGATCCAACATCTATCCTTTATACATGTTTTATTGAAATAAGCAATAATAAATAAGTATTTGTTCGAATAAATTTCATTTTTTATAAATTTTCTTTCATTAACCACTTCAAGTCTTATTTCATACGGAAAATGTGCAAATCAATATAATGCAATAAGATATAAATGATGCAATCTATATTCTCTACCAATAGATTTTTCTTAATCTTGCACAATCTTCTATTTAAATACGATGAAATGATTTTGTGCATTAAATACCAGTGGAAGTTAACCATTTAAAATAAAAATGCTCCTTGAGGACGATAGAAGATTTTGATGAGCGAAGTGCCTCATAAAAAGAAGGTTCGTTCTAAAAAATCGAGGAATGCACCGCAGGAGCTATCAACATCTAAACCATGCGGTAGAAAACTTCTTGATTCAGAAGAATCACATAAAATAACAGATCCAAGATTTAGAGAAGAGTGTGGCGAAATTGATAAGGTAGGGTTCGTTAAAAACTATGCCTTTTTACAAAAGAATAGAGAACAAGAAATTTCACAAATGCAAAAAGAATTAGAAGATGATCCTACGCTAGCCGATGATCCAGAGTTTAAAAAGCGTTTACAATCACTTAAAGATCAACATAAGACTATGGCATCTAAAATTGATGATGTGAATGCAAGTATTCAATGGCATCGCGAAGAAAGACAGAGAATTGCAGAAGGCAAACGTCCCTTCTGGATGGGTAAACAAGATATGAAGCTGATGCAGCAAAAGAAGAAATTTGATGAGCTTCAAAGCACAGGTAGGTTAAATGCATATCTTAAGAAGAGAAATAAGAAACTATTGGCCAAAGATAAAAAATCTGGCATTATATAATTTAGGGTCTATGTTTTAAAAATAAAAATTAGAGTTTATCGTTAAATGATAAATTTGAATCAAATAAGTATACACTGTGTCATATTTTGGAGCCACTTTATACCCTTCCCGGAAAATAGATGATAATATTAATATCGCATCTATTTCGTTAGATTATGATAAACTAAGTACTGCAAGGGGTAAACATTACTCTTATAGAATTCTTCCTAGATAGCCATGTATTTCCATTCCTTATGACTAAACAAAATTTTGTAAGTAATTTGTATTTAAAGAAAAGTAGCAATTTCTAATTCACAATTGAGTTTTTATTTATAATTTCCAAATAAATTGGAATTTCCAAATAAAAACTTATTTGGAATTTCCAATCGAGAGATTGGAAATTCCAATCTCGCAATATTTCCAATTGCGACGGTTTTTCCAATTGGGCGGTTTTTCCAATTAATTGGAAATTCCAAATAAGGGGGTATATTTATAAATTCACTGCTATTTATAAATAGGTCTAATGAAGACAAAAAAATTGGAAATGGGACTAAAGATCTGCTGCATAGTAAAGGAAACGGGTGTTAGATGACAAGCTTGAGGTTTGATCCCTAAATTCAAGCTTCTTTCTACAAGATCCAAGCAGCAATATTTTTTTGATCGTCGTCATCTTTCAATTTTGTGAATAGTTTCAAAATTGGTAAACCATTAATTTTGCGTATATTATTTTTCATGGTGCACACAAATTCAATGGAAGAATATCATCATATGCTCAAAATTGAGACGAAGTCTCAATTTTGCCCATATGATGGAAAAATATTATTACATTAATTCTTTGCTATCATCCATTATTGATAACGAAATTGGAAAATAAGCCATATTTGTATGGCCAAGCCTTCCCGCAATTTTGAGAATTTTTACCGTGTTTTTACATCTTACGGGCTTTGCCAGGCAAAATTCACACCCATCATTGGCAATTTACTGACTAGGCCTTTTTGAGAGCAGGTTAGCAAGCAAAATATGGCTTATTTTCCAACTACGTTATAATGAATTTTTCAAAAGTATATATCGTGAAGCATATTTACCCAAATAATACAATTAAGGTTAATTATCAATGACACTTCAAGCCAGTTGTCAGAATTTTTAACGAAAGTCTGAGGGGCGTAAATGCACCCTTAACGCGCTAGAAAACCTTATGCTGTTAAATAATCTTCATCGATTTTTAATTTTTAATGTTTATTTTTGGATAAGACATATATTGTTATATATTCTTTAATTGATACTTTTCCCACCTTGTTTATTCAAGTATGAGACAATTTCTTTTGAACTGATTTTGATGGCGACACTAAGAGGGCATTTATTAATATCGAGATAATTTCATAAAACAATGATAAATATGAAAAGAAAGAAAATGTCATAAAACAATGATAAATATGAAAAGAAAGAAAATGTTATAAAACAACGAGAAATATGAAAAGAAAGAAAATGTTATAAAGAAAAGATAAATATGAAAAGAAAGAGGATAAGTTTCATGGTAACATCAGCACCATGTTCAACTAAGAATGTGACAATTTCTATTGAGTTCATTTTGATGGCAATACTAAGAGAGTATTCATTAATATATAGAGAACTTCATAAAGCAATGATAAATATGAAAAGAAAGAGAATGTTATAAAGAAAAGATAAATATTAAAAGAAAGATAATTCCATAAAACAATGATAAATATGAAAAGAAATAAAATTCTATAAAACAATGATAAATATGAAAAGAAAGAAACTGTCATAAATCAATGATAAATATGAAAAGAAAGAGAAATCTATAAAACAATGATAAATATTAAAAGAAAGATAATGTAATAAAACAATGATAAATATGAAAAGAAAGAAAATGTAATAAATCAATGATAAATATGAAAAGAAAGAGAAATCTATAAAACAATGATAAATATTAAAAGAAAGATAATGTAATAAAACAAAGATAAATATTAAAAGAAAGAAAATGTCATAAAACAATGATAAATATTAAAAGAAAGAAAATGTCATAAAACAATGATAAATATGAAAAGAAAGAAAATGTCATAAAACAATGATAAATATTAAAAGAAAGATAATGTAATAAAACAATGATAAATATGAAAAGAAAGATAATTCCATAAAACAATGATAAATATGAAAAGAAAGAGAAATCTATAAAACAATGATAAATATGAAAAGAAAGATAATGTAATAAAACAATGATAAATATGAAAAGAAAGATAATTCTATAAAACAAAGATAAATATGAAAAGAAAGAAAATGTCATAAAACAATGATAAATATGAAAAGAAAGAGAAATCTATAAAACAATGATAAATATTAAATGAAAGAAAATGAAATAAATCAATGATAAATATTAAATGAAAGAGAACTTCATATAACAATGATAAATATTAAATGAAAGAAAATCCAATAAAGCAAAGATAAATATTAAATGAAAGGAAATGTTATAAAACAACGAGAAATATGGAAAGAAAGAAAATGTTATAAAGAAAAGATAAATATGAAAAGAAAGAGAAATCTATAAAACAATGATAAATATGAAAAGAAAGAGAAATATATAAAACAATGATAAATATGAAAAGAAAGATAATGTAATAAAACAACGAGAAATATGGAAAGAAAGAAAATGTTATAAAGAAAAGATAAATATGAAAAGAAAGAGGATAAGTTTCATGTTAACATCAGCACCATGTTCAACTAAGAATGTGACAATTTCTATTGAGTTCATTTTGATGGCAATACTAAGAGGGCATTCATTAATATATAGAGAACTTCATATAACAATGATTAATATTGCAAAAAAGATAATTTCATAAAGCAATGATAAATATGAAAAGAAAGATAATTCTATAAAGCAATGATAAATATGAAAAGAAAGATAATTCTATAAAACAATGATAAATATGAAAAGAAAGAAAATGTCATAAATCAATGATAAATATGAAAAGAAAGATAATTCCATAAAACAATGATAAATATGAAAAGAAAGATAATTCTATAAAGCAATGATAAATATAAAAAGAAAGATAATTCTATAAAACAATGATAAATATGAAAAGAAAGAAAATGTCATAAATCAATGATAAATATGAAAAGAAAGATAATTCTATAAAACAAAGATAAATATGAAAAGAAAGAAAATGTCATAAATCAATGATAAATATGAAAAGAAAGAGAAATCTATAAAACAATGATAAATATTAAAAGAAAGAGAAATCTATAAAACAATGATAAATATTAAAAGAAAGAAAATGTCATAAATCAATGATAAATATGAAAAGAAAGATAATTCCATAAAACAATGATAAATATGAAAAGAAAGAGAAATCTATAAAACAATGATAAATATGAAAAGAAAGATAATGTCATAAAACAATGATAAATATGAAAAGAAAGAAAATGTAATAAATAAATGATAAATATGAAAAGAAAGATAATGTAATAAAACAATGATTAATATTAAAAGAAAGATAATGTAATAAATCAATGATAAATATTAAAAGAAAGAGAAATCTATAAAACAATGATAAATATTAAATGAAAGAAAATGTAATAAAACAATGATAAATATGAAAAGAAAGAAAATGTTATAAAACAACGAGAAATATGAAAAGAAAGAAAATGTCATAAAGAAAAGATAAATATGAAAAGAAAGAGGATAAGTTTCATGTTAACATCAGCACCATGTTCAACTAAGAATGTGACAATTTCTATTGAGTTCATTTTGATGGCAATACTAAGAGGGCATTCATTAATATATAGAGAACTTCATATAACAATGATAAATATGAAAAGAAAGAGAATGATATAAAGAAAAGATAAATATTAAAAGAAAGAAAATGTAATAAAACAATGATAAATATGAAAAGAAAGAGAATGATATAAAGAAAAGATAAATATTAAAAGAAAGATAATTCCATAAAACAATGATAAATATTAAAAGAAAGATAATGTAATAAAACAATGATAAATATTAAAAGAAAGATAATGTAATAAAACAATGATAAATATTAAAAGAAAGATAATGTAATAAAACAATGATAAATATTAAATGAAAGAAAATGCCATAAAACAAAGATAAATATGAAAAGAAAGAAAATCTCATAAAACAATGATAAATATGAAAAGAAATAAAATTCTATAAAACAATGATAAATATTAAAAGAAAGAAAATGTCATAAAACAATGATAAATATGAAAAGAAAGATAATGTAATAAAACAATGATAAATATGAAAAGAAATAAAATTCTATAAAACAATGATAAATATGAAAAGAAAGATAATTCCATAAAACAATGATAAATATGAAAAGAAATAAAATTCTATAAAACAATGATAAATATGAAAAGAAAGAAAATGTAATAAAACAATGATAAATATTAAAAGAAAGATAATGTAATAAAACAATGATAAATATGAAAAGAAAGAAAATGTCATAAAACAAAGATAAATATGAAAAGAAAGAAAATGTCATAAAACAATGATAAATATGAAAAGAAAGATAATGTAATAAAACAATGATAAATATGAAAAGAAAGAGAAATCTATAAAACAATGATAAATATGAAAAGAAAGATAATGTAATAAAACAATGATAAATATGAAAAGAAAGATAATGTAATAAATCAATGATAAATATGAAAAGAAAGAGAAATCTATAAAACAATGATAAATATTAAAAGAAAGATAATGTAATAAAACAAAGATAAATATTAAAAGAAAGAAAATGTCATAAAACAATGATAAATATTAAAAGAAAGAAAATGTCATAAATCAATGATAAATATGAAAAGAAAGATAATTCTATAAAACAAAGATAAATATTAAAAGAAAGAAAATGTAATAAATCAATGATAAATATGAAAAGAAAGAGAAATCTATAAAACAATGATAAATATTAAAAGAAAGATAATGTAATAAAACAAAGATAAATATTAAAAGAAAGAAAATGTCATAAAACAATGATAAATATTAAAAGAAA